TCAGTACAAGCCCTATGCAGGCAATGGATGTTGGGAGGAGCTGGAGTGGAAATCAAAGGGTAAGCACATCTTAGGACAGTCTACTCAAGCAATTGACTGAAATCTGGCAGTATGGCTCTCCCTGGATTCCAGAATCAATATCTTATTGCAATAAGAGGTTCTCACCTTCCAGACATATTGCTTGGGGCTAACAAGTGCCTGTGTTAGTTAACACTAAAGCCATAGCTTCTAAACACTTTACATGGGGACAAACCAGCCCCTTTTTGTAGCCATGCCATCATCCTCCATTTCCTCCCCAAGTTTCTTTGCCTCCCCACCACTCCTTCCTATAGCTGGCACTATATTACCATGTTACCACATTTTGAAGTACATTCAGAAAAGGATCTAGTTAAATAAGTGATTCATTTAATATATTTTTAGTCAAATGAGGGGTTAACTGGCAAAGGGATAAGGGAAGTCGAAACGGCTTCGTTTGGAACAGCAGCAGTGTAAAGTTTGCAATGTCAGGATGTTATACCATGATTAAGAGTCCTTCTTCACCAGCAGGAGGACCAACATTCTGTTTATAAATTTAAATCCAGCTCACATGCATTGAGCAAACAACAGTATTATTTCAAGCCTTTGCTAGTCCGACCTGTCTGCTATGGTCCTCTGCCTTTCCATGACAGAAGAAAACACGTGCCTGCATCTCAGTAGCTCCAGTTCCTCCCAATACAAATGCACCATCACTGTAAGGCTCATGCGAAAAGAGCAAGAGCATATAGCTTGGGGAGGACAGTCCTAAACCACTGCTGGAGGATTCATTACACCTTTCCAGCTAGAGCCCTAGACTTACAGATCGGAAGCAAAACGTGGATTCTTCAGAGTACATAAAGCTATGGTTAGCATTTACAGCAATCAATTCCCTTATCACCTGAAAGCAGGAAAAAATTGAACTTCTACAGGAATATAATCAAATAAGCTAACCAGACTTCATTTTAAGAGATGAAACCGAAGTAAGCTTTTATCTACAAACACTTTAAAATTAAACAGACTGAGGTTAAAATAAAAAAGAATGATACAGAAAAAAAAATAATCAACAATTGTGTTTGTAATTCCATTTCAAACAGTCTCATCTCTCTGATAAAAGGCTTCACCTTCCCCCCAGGAACTGTATTTCTTGCCCAGACTGGAGTCTCCCATCATACTTGGTATTTCACATTTCATTCGCACTGCCCAAGACATTGAAGTTTCACTCCAGAACGAAATAAATAAAGAGCACCCAGCTATTGACTTGTTCATAATACTTGAAACAGAACAAAGTACAGGAAAAATACACTAGTCATTCGGGCATGGAGTTGCTTCTCTAGAAAAAGCATACTGTAAGTGAGATGGGACAACAGTAGAGATAGGTTTGTCTGCTTCAACCCCATCATTGAAGTTTATGAAGCAACTCATTTACCTTTAGAACCCAACCATATTCAGTAATCCAGAACACAGGCACTGTTGACTTTACTAATAAGATTATTCCCCTAATGTCTACATTACTCAGCCATTTAACACAAGTCTGCTATTTGAGATGGCAAGAATAAACTAGGAGATGCCGATTAGAAGTATAGGAAATTATACTATCTGGCAAATAGCATGCTTTCTTAAGGATTATACACGATATTCTATACAACTATTCAGAAGACTAAACATAGCCATAAAAGCTTGTAACAAGCAACTGCTGCCTTGTGTTTGTTCATTTACATCTTGAGACAGACAATGGACCTTACTGCAGAATGACACTGTACGGACTATATTCCCTTTAGCAAACATGACAACTGTAAATCTTTAAAGAATGAAGACTTCATTTCAAGCTAAGTAAAATCCCTGAATAATCAAACTTCATTTTACGCCAAATAAATACCCTGAATAACCAATATTCTGCTTAACAAAAAGAGTATCTGTAAAACATAACGCAAGCACAATTGATAAAAATTCCCCTTTGTGGAACCCCACTGCTTTCATAAATGTGAAGTTCTGAGACATATTCAGATATAACACCAGACAGTGGAGCAAAATAGCAGTTGATAAGCACCCATTTATCAGACAAATGAGTGTCTGATACGGGAGTAGGCAGAATAGGTACAGGTTTAGACAGAGGTAAATATTAAAGCAACTGAAAAGAGATTTCTAACAGAATGGTAAATATAACCATCATTCTAACATTCTTCTCTTTCCTTATTACAACTGTACAGTGCAGCAAATGCTTAAGTTTCAGTGTTTGGTCAATAAATCTCCTTGAATCCTCCTAAGGTTCCTTAGCCCTTTTCCCACAGTTGCATTCACCTCCCTGGTAAAATAAATAAATAAAATAAAATGAAGCACTGTTCTCGGAACTTCAGATACCAAAATCTTATACAGGTCAAGGATGTTTTTGTTACCACGCCCATTTTTTTTAACCTCTCAATGCCCTTTGATCAAGGGCTGTTGTTACAGGCGTAGGAAGAGCTTTGCTACAGCTGATACTATCTGCAGCACTAACAACAGAAACCTGAAACATTTATGCTGCCAGCTGACACAACACTGGGTTTCTGCAAGGCACTGCAAAACTTTTAAAATAATTTTAATCTGCATAAAAAGGGACTGAAGAGGCAAGGACCAAAACAAAACCTCTGTTCTGAGAATTAAACATTTCATGTTCTCCCTGGTGCAGGAAGAAAAAGGCGGGGGGGGGTGGAGCGGGGATAGAGGCTGCAATCATTGCAAAACCATTACAGCAGAGGAGTTAGCATCCTAGTATCCAATGTAATGTAATAAGCATTTTAATATTGTGCACAGTAAGCCTCAACACATGGGGGACATTAGTACTACTAATGAAAAAAAAAAAAAAGGCAAAAAGAAAGCAGAGAACACTGATGTTTCCCCTTGTCTTTTCAATGATATATTTTCTGTATTCTCACACCGTACTTACCCCTAAAGTATTTTGAGTATATTCTCCTATTGCACTAAGCTGCAGCGCATTATGCCACCACAAATGGTGGCTGTTTCAACTTATTTCTCAAGAGCTAGCTTAGATCTTCTTAATACAGCCATTGCTTTGCTGGAATTTGAAGGCAAGGTCAAATAAAAGTTCCTTGTATTCAGTGCAGGTGGAAAGGTTTGTTACAGTTCTTACTTGTGGAGGAGTTTATTAATTGCAGACTGAACATGTCTCCCACGCAGGAGAACGCTCACCTTTCCAATATTCCATTTCACTGAGATGAGTGATGCATTTCACCATCATTATGTATAAACTTCCCCTCTTTATGAATATTCAGACTCCAGCAAAGTTAAAGAGGAAATTTGGAACAGTATAAAATTATTATTTCCAAGTTTATGCTCAATTCCTGCAGGGAACAGTTCTGGAATATAATAAAAGTAATTTAGGTTTATCAAATCACTTCCATTTCACATCAAATCTACAGTCCACACTTATCACAGATGCTCACAGTCAAACATGAAGAGAAAGTAAATGCCAGAAGTCTCAAGCCTGTTCATGTTTAACATTCTTTTACAGAAAGATGTTAAGAATGTAGAAACAATCTTTTAACAAACTAAATAATTTCACTTAAATGCAATGGGTTAGGCTTCTAGAGTTAGTTATCTAACAGGTGCATTTTCTTCCAGGAATTTTCTTGCTGTTGCAATAATCAAAATACACCTTGCACAACCACATCAATGACCACCCAGCTACTAAGGAACGAGGACATATCAGAAAGAGAAAGCATTTTGGCTCAAACCCCTCCTTCCTCACAAAAGCGGCATTCAGATTTTCATGAAAAAGGAATCTACAAGTTCCTATGTAAGTTCCCATATTTTAATGAAAGACACAAAGGTCAAACATCTTTGCAGGGAACAAACAACTGGAAGAGACTCTTCCTGTCAATCCAAAATGAAGTATTAATGAGGTTGCTTCTACAGCAGCAACTTGATTCCACAAATTTCAGTTATTAAAGCAACACAGTCATCACTTATTTTTTACATTTGATTAAAGTTATCAGACATGGGAACACTTGCCTTAAAGTGAATAAAGTGAGTAATGACAAATACGGCCTCTCTAAGCGATATATTGCAAGATTTCTGTTTTTTAAATGGAATCTCTGCAATGATCACGAAATCACACCTATTGATGAACAAAACTGTGTTAACATTATAAGACAACACAGTATGGATAGAAAGTGTTTTAACCGGTAAATGAAGGATTCCAAGTTTCTCCTTTAAGAGTACACCATACTGCAGAAAGCACTGCAACATACACCACAGCTTCTCCTTCAAGATTTTGCGTATTAATTTGTTGAATCTATATTGTTTTCCATCACTGTATGTTAAAGCTTAAGTTTATTGTCTGATTATTCTATTAGCAAATTTAAGTTGCAGCCAGCTTAGCTCCATTATGCTGTTATATCTGCAAACAATTCAAAACATTCCCAACATGATATGCCATATTAGTTTGAAACACTAGTAACAGTATTCTGCCTTATTTTTAATTCTTTTCAGAGAAATACCTACTCAGTCTTTAAAAGCATCATTGAATACGTGGTGTGTGGCTGAACAGAAACAGTGTAGAGCTAACAGCTACCTCAAGGGTTACTGATGCAACTAACAACAGAGATTTAAATTACCTTCTCCCCAGATTAATCAAAAATAGAAGGATTCTGCAACATTCCCACTCTGGCCCTTTCACTTCAAAGTAAGTATTTTTTTATTCACGTCTGAAATTCTTCATTACTTAATGCCTGTGCAAATGGAGAATTTGTCTTTTATACATTCCCTTCCCAAAAAGCTTAATGTTTTCAGGGCAGTGAGTGTTTTCAGGGAAGAAATTTACTATGTACAGCCTTTCAAGTTTTAAGTATAAACCAATGAAAAATCAAGGCACTCAAGGTACTTACGTATGAGCAAAAAAAATTATATTACTTAAAATAGTAAGCCCAAATCACAAAGTGAAATTATCAGCAAGCATGCAACTGGGAATAAGGTGAAGTCTCATTCTTTTACAGCTTTGGCTTGAACTTGCCAGAAAGAAGGGCTTTTAGCATTTCAGAATTTTTTCCTTCTGGTGGTGAGGGCCATCTGTCGTGATCTAAGGAAAACAAATAAAACAACATACTTAGCTGACTGAGAAACTAGGCATTTTACTTTTGTGTCCTCCCATTTCTCAACTTCAAATATGGAAGGGCATTATTCTGTAGCCCATTTCTTACCAGGTATTTCTAGGGTATGGCTATATAAACTTTGGCCACCATCCACGACCATGGTTATCCCAGTTATGAAAGAAGCAGCTGGAGACAGTAGGAAGCACACCGCAGGAGAGATCTAACAAAAGAACAACAATTTTAATCTTTGTTAAACTGCTGGGAATTGTTCATATCAAAGACGCTAATAAAAACTTTTACGGGGAAGACATTGCAACATTTTCTACACTCAGTAATGAAAACCGTAACAGCCTTAAAGCCATCCTTCCAGCCACAAACATCAACTACATAACAGATGAAAACAAGTAAGCTCTCAGAGAACAGCATCAGATGCCGAAAATCAAACAAAAAAGTTGTGAGTTTATCAAAGATGCACATTCTTGGTGGAAGAGAGCTAAGTACTTTTAAGATACACTTTTTTCACATTCATATTCGTTCTTTCAGTCCTCCCTGCTAGAAGTCAACCTTTTCAGAACTAATATCTATTATGAAACACATCAGCTGTAAGAGGCATCTAAACTAAAATTTCAGTCTAACCGTGATTACTAGTTAAGTCTCCCACTTGGCACTACTACGCATTGCTACAAGCTTTTTTCTTTTTTAATATTCCATCAGAGTGCAAAATTAAGTCTTTATTGTTCTCCAAATAATAAAGTGGCTTCAAAATAGAGACACAGAAGTAGAAATATCACAAGTGTTCTGAAATACATTACCTCCTCAGGAACCGCTGACCTCTTGGCAGGAACCTTTGGTATGCTCTTTAACCACATCATTATACCTTGTTCTCCGTAGTTTGCAACAGCAGTTTCTGAAAATACTAGTCCCTGTTTTAAAAACAGTGAAAATTAAGTTCTCTTGCACATGTTTAAACTGTGATCATTGTAAAATTGTGAAGCTGTCATTACTGGGATTTTCTGTGGTATTAAACTACCTAAACAGCACTTGAATGCAAGTTTTTAAATTTAATGGAATAGTATAATGTATACAACACGGTAATTTGGCTGCTAGCCACATCTCTATTCAAGCACAATAATTTAGATTATTCCAATTCTCCACTGTCACTTCAATAACTATAGAGTGGAGAGTATAAAGAAGAAACTCAAAGACTGGTTTGAAATTGCAAGCATTTCATATTGGCTTATAGCATTAAACTACAAAGCCCCAAGAACAAGTTCTCAACAGTTTCTTGTAATCTGTAAGAACAGTAGATTGGTTTTATTGTGAATTATGGAAGCAGACAGATTTCACAGTCAGAATTTAGACTCTCCCTACTTAGCTGCTATAGCCGTAAAAAGAGGTGACTGTCTTTGCTCTGATGATTATACAGTCCAGTTTAGACTTGAGGGGGAAGATGAAGGCTACAGCAATGGGAACACAGGGTTACATACATTAGTTACAACAGAACCTTTAGGATTCAAGTTGAAGTAGGGTGACAAAATTTGAATTCATCCATGGAGTACATGCCAAGATTTCTCTTCTAAGATATCTGTGAAATGTGAGTGACTATATCTTGGGAGCTAGGGAAGATACTCATATGTGAAACTATTTTACTTTTTTTTTTTGAATGCGTGTTTCCCTCTTTATGTAGTCATTCTCTATATGTTACTCTGCTGCTATAAAGCAGCAGCAGTTCTGTATGGTTATCACAGACCCAGTGTCCCTAAAGGTGACAGAAGGATATAAAGTATTACTGTAACAATAACGTGGATTTTTGTTACCAGCATAGTAACAAAGCTAGCAAATACTTCTGAAAGACCCAAACCGCTGAAGTGTTTGCTTGTTAAAAACTTCTTTTGACGTATGCTACAAAGTATAATTAGTATGATTCATTAGGTAATTAGCATGCCTGAAAATGTATTCACATAATAATGCTGTCTCAATTACTTACTTCCCCAAGGCTTGATAAATCAGAAAAAACAAATAAACAGGAAAAGCAAGCCAGTAGATCTTAATATTTGACAAGTCTCCAGATCAGTTGGGCCTCACAGAGGCTACGTAAGAGCCACTACCTGAATGATCATCACACATCTGTCATTAAGCATTCTGTGATATGCCAAAGAATGCGAGGCAGATGTTTTAGGACAAGAGGCACAACAGGACATAGAGACATACTACAAAGACAGTACAAAGATCTTCCTAGGCTCCAAATCCGACGCTTAACTATATTGTGAGATAAGATAAATTCCAAATGTAGAAGTAGCTGGACAAAGCTTCCCTTCCCTCTTTTGTTTCCAAGGGAATAAACGTGCAAAATAAGTTGGAGTTAAGAGTGAAGATTATAAAAATCCAAACAGATCACACAATCTCAAATGTCAAAGCTAGGGCTTCTAAATAACCTCTATATCTGCAGCACCATGGCACTAGAAAATATAGCTGCTCTTTCCATCCAGTTATTTGAAACAACTGCTACACACTACCTACTTCCTCAGAAATGTGGCAGGCATATTTTAGCTGGCCTGTATAGCGGTTTCCTGTCTACATATATTTGATAAGAAAAAAATCAGAACACACACTTTCAAATACAATTTCTTTGAGAGAAAGTCCACTCCAAATACAGTCTTTTTATGCCTAAAACTAATCTAAGTAAAAGACAAAGTAAAAGATACTATGTGACACACTCAGAGATTTTCAAAACAACTTTGTAAACACAGATGGAAACCATCTGCATACCTGAACCTCAAATAGAAAAAGTTTTGTGAACTCAGAAATAATGTCATCCTTACTGAAACACAAAGCATTTGTTAATTTTATGTCAAGGGTTTGTAAGACAGGTCAGCAACTCCTCCCAAGTATCATTTCATTTAGCTAGGAAAAAAAAAAAAAACAAAACAGGAGTGCCAAGTCAAAGCAGAAAGCAGAAGCAATTTTATCCCACATCTGTGGTTCGTCATCCAAACAGCACAAAACTCTCAAATGACCTGAAGAACGCAGATAAGAGAATTATAAATAAATAAATAAATATTCTACAAACAGCTACAGGTTACAGATTTTAAAATCCCTTTTGGTCTGAAAGTTTTAACCATGAACATGTATGATGGCTCAATTTTATCAGATTATTTGCCATTACTTACAGGAGCAACGCTGTTGATTCTAACTCCGCTGTGGGCCCATTCTAGAGCTAAAGTCTTGGTTAGGTTATTCACTGCAGCTCTTGCAGCTCCTGTATGCCTATTGAGAAAAGAAAGCAAAAGAAACATCTGTTCCTTCAGCTAACAGTGCCCAGTGTTAATTCTACCACAGCCTCACTAAGTTAGTCACAGTAGCTTTCTACAGCTGGACCAACCATCTGGGACAGAGAGAGATTTTCTAGTTTGGAAGTTTGACCATAGCTTCACAGTTTAAACAAGCTATGCTACGATTTCCTGTCATTTCTGGAAATACTTATCATCTCTTCCCCAACATGACATGAGGTCAGCTACATTCTACTGAAGAAGCAGGCCTATAAAATGAAAAAAAAACACTGGATGCAAAGTTCAAACTCTGTACAACTATGAAAGGTAGGCTGCACAGCTAAAGCAACACTTGGAAGGACAGTGCTCTGAAAAATAGTTTAGATCTTCTGACAAACATGATTCAAATAAGCCACTATTCGAAAATTACTATACGTGGATGGAGATAGAGACCACCATAGGCAGAGCGATCTCATTTGCCTCGATGCTGTAGGAAACAACTCTGAAATGATTACAAGCTTGAACAAATGCAGACAAAATTACTGCAGTGATGAATAGCGGACAGCAGGACTCAGAAAACCATTAGAGTTTAATTCCTTTAGCCTAGCAAAACAGACTTAGAGGAAATAGATAGAATAGCTTCTCAAATATCAGGAAAGGAATAAGAAAAACTTCAGAAAAACATAAGAAACCCCAACTTATTTATCTGTTTAGGCCAGAAATAAATAACCTCCAGGCACACTATAAGCAAACAAACTTGATTAGTTTTATGTTCAAAATTAATACTTAGGAAAAATTTTATCAGGTGATTTTTGGTATGAGTGGTGGCTGGACTAGTAAAGGCAAGTCTTTTTCAATAGTACATTTCTAAAACAAGTATCAATTCAACAGGAATTTAGTTTGAAAGTAGTTTTGTCTGTCCACCTACATCCACACACAACAGTTATTTGGGGAACTTTTTTCCACTGTTATTCAGAATTTGTTTTTTCATCTCTTGGTGCAACTCTCACATATAGCTTCAGTCTATTTGCTGTGATAATTCAACCAGACTTAACCACAAGGGAGAAACTCAAATCAATGTAGCTTCAGCACCACCCTGTGGATCTCTAAATTTATTTTTGTACTGCCAAGAAAGTAAGAAAATATTCTGCTGTTCCTTAAAAATTTTAAATTTTGAAAATTGTCAACCCTGAATCAGGACAAAGAGAGGTCATGTAACATTTGCTCAAATTATATTTTCCTATTTTCTTCAATAGAAATTCAATTTCAAAGTTAAAAAAAAAGGTAGTTTTAAAGAAGAAATTCAGATATTTTTTCCATTAAGAAACTGTCAAAATGCAGCATTTTGACAACTTCAAAATCTCCTTTGAAAACAAAATAACTGAAACAATTCATTTTCTGAGCATTATTTCCCTTTCAATACATTGGAACGTTTTTTGGTGGAAAAGCTTCAAATCAGAAGACTCCTGCGTACCTCCATTTTGAGGGTAAAGAAATTTGAACAAATATAGTACACGTATGGATACGGAGATGATGCTGCATTTTCATGCAGACAGCTGTGGTCATTTGTGTCAGCATATACAAACTACAAATGTGGTAATACATTTGTACCCATGAGCCTTCTCCCAGTCAAGAAAGGAGCAGAGAAAACAGAACTGATTCTCTGCATCAGAGACCTCCTCCAAGAAAGATGGCTACAAAGCAAGAGCAAAAAGGAAAAAGCCAACACCTGGTAACATACTAGAATGTTCTGCCTACACCCAGTCCAACTCCCATAAGTCATTACACCATCAAGACCTGTAAACTGACAGTAGAAGAGGAAAACAGGTGCCAAGTTCTTGCAAACCATCCCGAAATTTGGACAGGGAACTAATAAAGGTTACATTTCAGTGCAACTAGTCCCACTAGCGTACCACTTCCAGTGAAAGCTTCACTGGCAAGTCTTGCTTCATAGTTTCTTACAAACAAGTTGACAGAGAACAGAAATGTCATTTACTTCTGTAGACTCTACTGAATTAATAAGAGATCCCCACACATACAGCCAAGTGATACTATTGTTTTCTCTTGACCTAACTGCTGTATTTCTATACTCTGCTGCTGTCCAGTGCACACCTTTTTCTGAAGTGAAGTATTTGGGAGCAATTAGTACTTCTAGGAGAAAAATATAGGAAAATGTAAAAATAAAATATATATTACGACATTCCAGGAAACCCATTTCTCACGGCAGCAGTAATGTTGACAATGACTCCTCCATGTTCCTGCATCCAGGCATTGTACACTGTATGAAGGAGGAAGATAACCTATAAATATCAGAAGAAATGCATACAAATGAACTTGCCAATTGGAAGCCAAATTTGTAGTCTTAATTCCAATTAAGAATTAATTAATTGGAATTAATTAATTATTTTGGATTAATTTAATTAATTAAATCTGCACACATTTCCTGTGCAGATTTGGAAAAACAATCTGCTCTTTGTACCATATTCTCACCACTGGATCGGTGAGATAACAGGTGTGGTCCAGGTAAGGCTCAATGTTTGTCAGGAAGCCTTTTGGTGGAAATCAAGTTTCATGCTTCCACGTAAATTACTTTCACTTCCACATTCCCGATGCTATCTGATTATCATGCATCATACTTAAATTTAACTTTAAATTTACATCCCTGATGGGAGAGAAATCTTTTCCTGTGTTACACACCCTGAATAGAGGCCACAGAAGTTAAGTGATTTTCCTATTGTTTTTCAAGTGAGTATCCAAGCCAAGCAACTCCCCACACTTGGCCTTAACCAGAAGGTCATACTTGCTTAAATGTACGTTTGTATATATGAACAAATGTAACGTACAGTTTAAGGTAAAGCTTTGGATGAGATTCATGAAGTCCACTGTCAGATTAAGTGTGTGAAAAAATAAGGCAGGGAAACTTTACATTCCTTGTCTTTTGGTACTGCTGTGAAAAATAAAACAAATAAAAAAAGCTGGATGTTCAGTCCTGACCTGCTTTGCAGCAGTAGAAGGTCCCTGTCAGATTCGTGTCTATCACGGCATTCCAGCCTTTTGCACGGATGGCTTCAGAAGGACTTGCAAATTGGCCTCCTCCATTATTCACCAGGAAGTCAATCTTCCCATGCAGACTCAGTGTAGACTTCACCAAAGCTTCAACCTGAAACAGTATTTGTTAGTATGCTGACTTAGCTATATACCCAATTTAATTCTCAGACGGTGTTTTCTCTCTCATATTCTTTTCACACACAAAGAGGAGGTACCAACCTTCAGAGAGGCTGGAACAGGTTTAGTCAGACAAAAAGGATTGGGCTGAGTCCATGTTTACTTCGGAAATCTTCCTGGTATAATGCAGGTGCTACATGAAATAGCAGCACTGAAAGAAGAAGGGGATCTATGCCACTGAACGTTTGTGAAAACAAACACCCACAAAAGCCTGCTGCTTAAGACCTACTAAGAATCTCCTGACATTTTTGATAAGGGTTGGGGTGTTCACATCAGATGCTGGAAGAGTTACATATAAGGTAGCTACTGTGTTTTTCATGACCTATATACCTGACCATTTTAAATAGAAAACATAAGTCATCTTGTGAAGTTTTAAGATTCTTATGTAGAAGTTTTGTACATTCACTAAAGCTCCAACATACAAGTTCACAACACAATTTTCTTATGCAGACCAAGAAGGTTATTTTGTTACCCTACAAAACATGAACTCTAAAAAGTGCTGGGAATACCACATGTTGTCTTCTTCAGCAAAAGAAAGGTGAATATTTGACTAAGCAGATTCTTTCTTTCAACAAGCAGGATGAATACTTACGATTAAGAGCACTGTCTGGCACTATTTACCTTTGGGTACTCTGGAAAGGTATTAACAGCAAATACCAATAGACATTTTATTCACTCACTCAAAGAGCTGTCAGTGCAGAAAAGGAGTTGCATACATTCATATGGAAGGAAAGAGATTTTGAGAACTTAAACCTAGCTCTGACACTGACCTAATGTGAGCTACGGGCTGTAACCTAAACCTTGCGTATTGTCTTCTGTTTTGGAAGTACAGCAGTTTCGCCACACACACTAAACACAAGAGAACTTCTGGAGTGGAATGTATTTCAAAGCATTCAAAGATTTTACAGATACCAAAGCTGATGTATTTTTCCTGTCACAAGATAGCAATAAGAAATCTACAGCAACTGCTTAATAATTTAACCTTTATCTCAAGAAACAGGGGAAATGGGACAACATGACTGTTTCCTGCTTACATTACCTATCATAACCAGATACCATGCATCAGTTACTCCTACTCAAGCATATAAAAAAAGTTAATCTAGCATCTGTGGTCACAGAAAACACAGACCAAAAAAACCCCAAAAAACAAACAGCAGGAGCAATGCTGCTGCTGAAACAGATTTAACTAAGGGAAGGATATCAATCAGCCTTCCTCTGTACTGAGTTAACAGTAGAAAACATCAGAAACAAAAGAATAAGCAATGCATGATCTGTATCTCACCAAGAGTGCCACCAACCCACTCTCATAAATAGCTGCCTTACAGCTTTTGCTGCTAACAGTTCAGGATGGCTTTTTAGGTTTCCTAAATCACCATCTTTAGGTTCTGAATGGCCTCTTATTCCTCATTGCAGCTTGTGGGATCTGAGGAAAAAAAAAAACCAAAACCCCAAAACATCTCTGACAGCAGTCATAGCTTGTGAGAACCACCTTGCCACAAAGACTTCTAGGTTTGCTCACAACCAGAGAAAAGCAAGTTATGTCTCACTAGACAGCAAAAGTTATACTTTGCTCAGCAATATCAAACTCTTCTCCCTATCAGCCTGAGAATCTTGCTTTGAATATTGTTCTCCATAAGTCACTGAAGCATGGGTTCATTTATAGAAGATAAATGGTTTCAGTACAAGGACTATTTGAACAGACTAAGGCTATTCAGGCTGGGGAAAAAAGAGAGAAAGAGAGAAAAGGGAAAATGTTACGAATCTTAACAAAAAAAAAAAAAAAAAAGACAAACTAATAGAAGAAAAATCCACTGAAAAGAAACATTACAAGCAACTTTTCAACAGGGGGACAAAACCTGCTATGACATATCAATTCAAAATGGTTCATAAATGGTTCATATGTTGTATCTTAAGAAACTGTTGTTGTTCTTCCTTGTCGCACCATATTCTCAGGGTAATAAAAAAACCCACCTAAAACACGTATCAGTTCTGCTTTCTGAAAGCCAGCAAAGGCTGGCAAACTCTCCAGTGACAGCTCACATGGCTCCAACTGTTGCAATCTTCACAATGTTTTCTGTATTTCAGAGAAAGCATCATTGCAGTGCTTCTCCCAGTTACAGTAAACACAGTGACAGCAGCCACCAGCACAGTAAGAAAGAGGATCTGGTAGAACACATTTAAATCACAGTGACAACTAAAGAAGATTCCTGTCTGTTCCTAAATATTCAAAACCCACAGCGGAAAAACTTCATAAATGTCCTGGTTTGAAGTAGAACAGAACCAATTTTCCATTCAGTAATTTTACTCTGCAGCTAAGCCTCTTCTAACTAACTGAACTCTCTGAAACTGTCTGAAATTAACAATGTATTGTAGAGACCCTGTTCGCTCTCAGAGTGATAAAACTTATGTTTGTAATTCATGCCAAGGAACGGTATGCAGAGAGGCTCTTGCTTATACTTATTGCTATAACAACCAAGGTCAGCTAACTTTGTTGTGTGCCCCATTGGAGGGTCAGAAGCGGAAGAGGATAGAGGGGTTGCACCTGCGGGGAGAAACAGACAGGACAGGTGACTCAAAACTGACCAACAGGGTATTCCATCCCATCTGCATCACACTCAGTATAAAAGCTGAGGGATCAAAGGGTCAGCTCTTTTCTTTAATGGTCAGCATCCAAGGAGGACTCTGTTCATCTGCTTTTGATCCCAACCCCTGCATTCCTGAATCCAGATCCAGAATCCAGTTCCCACCCGTCACTGAGTCCAGTCAGTCTGGGACTTTCCCAGTGCCTGCTGGTGACGTTACTGTCATCCTGGGAGCTCGATACTGGTTTTGTATATTTTTTCATTATTTTCTTTTTATTATTTTATTAATATTTCATTAAAGTAGTTTAATTTTGTCTACACTCATAGGTCCCTCTCTCTCTCTCCCTCCTCTCCTTGAAGAGAGAGGTGGGGGAGACCATCTGTCATTCATTTTTAGTGGCCAGTCTGGCCCAAACCACAACAATAAAAAAGCTACTAAAGACTCTCTCTGGAAGCAAAACAAAACTGCAAAAGCTATAGTTAACAGTTTAGGACATTCTTCTGAAAAAGACTGAAAAAACAAAATCAGGCACTTTAGACATAACCAGAAGACTGGAGCTCCTCAATAAGGACCTTTTTTGTGTGACTGCAACTCAAAAGTATTATGCAGTAGCACACTTTCACAGATAACCGAGATGATAGTACTCGCTGACACAGAAAAGGGACAAATGTCCACATGCATTCACAGGTCACCTTGAACTTGAGTAAAACTCTACAGGCAAACTACCCACTACAGGGTGTTAGAGATTGCTATTTGGGGGCTAGAACTAGTAGGCATTCTTGCCCAGTGTTAACAGGTATTTTTACTTTGTGTCATTACTGTGTTATTTTAAAGTACGACAACAGGAATCTCTTATCCACAGCTCTCCACCAAACCGCACTCTTTCACTACAAGCTTCACACAGACAGGCGTTAAGTGTTTATAAACCAACTGAGACTATGCTAAACTATAAAATTTATTGGAAAAGAAAAGCTACTGGTGAACTCAGACGCAAGGTAAGTGCTAGATAGTCTGCCTCAAGGACTCTTGTTGTCAGACACCCAAGTAATAGCTTTTACCCTCCGGATATCATCCAGCAGCAGCTGTTGTTGCTGGAGCCTGAGTATGGAATGGGGACACAGTGCAAAGAATTCTGAATTGCTGGTTTCAGGAAGAGCAGTGGCCTACCAGAAGTACAAGGTTTTATCTTCCACTTACATAGATGTCTTCTACTTATCTAGTTACCAGTTAAAGAAATGTTTGTCCAGATCATATAGCACAAAGGCTTTACATGTCTTTCTTTCCCCTGTCAATACATTAGCTGTAGCTCACCATTTAAGACACACAAACACATGCTTCCCCTTCCCAACACCTACAAAGATAAAGAAAAGCTCTTTTCATAATGGAAAAACAATGGGGTCTCTCTCCTCCATTCTGCCCACCATTACATTGAGGCACTGAAATTAATTAATTAGATCCTTGGATTTTGGAAAAAGAGCTTGGTTTAAAAAGACAAACACACGCAGAGCTGTCAGGCCTGCACCCCAGCAAGAGCAAACTGACTTACTCTTGTTATATTCAACACATTATGTGGGCAGTGCTGGAAAATATCCAAATAATTAAAATCACTTCAGCTTCACAATCACTAAGAAGCAATGTTGATCACCACATACACTCCAGACCACCGGATAAGGCACAGGTGCACAATCACTGCTTCAGGGTACGGCACCATGAAGACAGAACACAGACATCTCAGGCACTCTTGCCAGCATCCCAGAACCCTCTACTCTTCCACCTTCAAAAACAAAACAGGTTTGCTACCCTTTACAAAACACTCAATGGAAAACTAGCCAAAAGCAGCAACAGCAAACTCGTAATAGAAATAAGCCTGACAGGTTGAAAATCCTCCATCAAGCAAGATTATTTCTTGCATATTAAACAAAAAGTAAGCTTTGCTAGAAAGCAAGAGGGCCTCTGAGGATGAAGATTAAGAGACTTAAAAATGTGAATTCATTAAACTATTCCCACAATATCTACCATCAAGCTTGTGCAGCAATTAATTCACTGCACCTTCTTTGACTCTTCCTAAGGCAGAAAGAGCTGTAACAGACACATTGCACTATATGACGACGGATGAATCTTCTAATGCTTGAATTTCACAGATCCAAACTAGGGCACACAAGAAGAATGAGCTATGTCATCTTCAAAGCAGGTCAGTTACTTTAAGATTTGCAATAGGAGGCAACAAAAAATAATCATCTGGCAATTTTGAAAGCACTTTCATCTTTCTTAGATCTCCTCTATTCAAAGTCTCTCCCTCCAGTTTGCCTGATTATAAAATTAAAACCAGGACAAAATTCATAGCGGCCTTTAGAGAAATGAAGAACAACTGATGGAGATGGAGAGATGAAAAAAAAAAAAAAAAAGGCCTGCTACAGCAAGAACAGATGGGTTGTTCCTACAGGTGATCACAGTGGCTTCCTTTAAGAGAAAGATTTACTTTTAGAAAGGTTTCGGTGATATGACAAAGAGAAGGACACACTAAATGAATTATGTAGTTCTTGAAGTTTCCTGGGCTTTGTAGCTTGTGATGGATTAGTTCTGACATCTAAGGAGGCTTAAACTCTTAAGTTTTTTCCCTTGTTGAAACATTTATAAGGTCTTTCTCCTTCACACATTCTTTGGTACCTGGTATAAGAGCTGAGAAAGAGGATGTAATGACTCACAGGGAATACTTGTAGAGGCTGTCCTCTCTACTCAACAATGTGCTTCGGTGAATTTCTGAGGTAAATACTCTTCACTAATACTAAGCTGAAACCAGACAATGAGTTGTAAAGCTATTATTAATAAGTAGCATACAGAGCCAACACAGTTGTACAAATTCTGTTTCTTTCGGGAGAGAAGCCAAAAGTTTAAATGCCCTCTCACCCCATCTTCCACTGTAAACAGAAGCTACTTCTGTATTTGTGAAAATGCTGAAGTGAGTTATATTGCTGTGTTCCCTCTATTCAAGATTTACCTCATAGGCTAGAAAAGTCCTTCACTGCATCTTTTACTGATCCCTGTTCCTAAGACTGCCAAGTCGTAGGCACTAAATTCAGGGTTAAGAATGGAATAGGTTTTGAAAGTGGATGTATGATGCTCTTTGAACAACAGTAAAAGCCCAAAGGTACTTTTCTTCTAGCCTCCACAAGGCAATCAAGTGCAAATTAGAAAAAAAAATATTCACCACTGCTGCTCTTAGCAAATATAATAAATAAGCAATAGCGAGCAGTGGGTTGTGGAAAATCTGCCGCATCCCACAGTTCTAAGTTCTGACAGTTTTAAGCAGTGTAAGCCACCAATTGTTAATTTCAGTTTATCTACCTTCAAGTTACAAACACCAAGCACCTAAGTGTAAGGAAGTGCTGTCCTTACTACAAATTTATAACTGAGAACCTGATGCACACATTCCTGGTCCAATAGTAATTTTAGAAATCAAGTAACAAGTAGCAAGGATTTAGCAATCTTTGAGAATTTCAGCATTAAAGAACTAACAGAGGAGGATGGAGCCAGAAAAGCAAGAGCTAAAGAATAAAAATCACAGGATGTCTCTAACCAGTAAAAATAACTGATCTTAGAGATGGGCACCTGGAATGGGTAAATAATTGTTTAGCGGGTACACTTAAGTTCTTATGTTAACATGCAACAGAAATTGCATTCCTTATTCAGAACTTCTACAAAAGGCTTATGAAATTTTCATAGTGCTTTTTTTCTAAATAGGATTTCAACAGAAAGAAGAGCAGCTGGAGAACTGAAGTGAGTCAAACCTGAGTCAATGACTGAAAAATTAAAGACTGGAGTTTCATCTACCATATTCCTCTGAACCCTCTCTTCAATTGATACGGACATGAAATGACAATGGTTTATGAGAACTTCCAGTGGCAGGAGACACCTGATAGAGGCTTCTCCAATATCTTCTGAAAAGTTCTGGTGCGTCTGTAAATGCGTAGAGCTTAAAACTAAACTGGAAACAAGACAATTCTATGATGAAACCGCAGGGTTTCTGCATCTCACACAACACTGCAGTTCCCACTAAATAATTTTTAAACTGATGCAGAAATAAGATTCACTTGTAGAAAGTTATTAAGCATGCCAGAGTACTTTGCAAGAACAGTGACGTGAAAGAAGGCTTAAGCCTTTTCTCTCTCTTTACCTCTTTTCCTTCCTGTAGCTTTAATCATGTAAGCTGCCCTCTGACATCTGTCATAACCTATTATATCGCACTGCTGATGCTAGTAAATACAAACCTAAAATTCACTGGTAGGTGAAGTGACATAGTGCACAGCCCCAGGCTTCATATCCTTCAGGAAAGAAAGTCTAAGTATATCACTATAAATATTTTATGGCACGAGCTGTTCCATGAGGGAAGAATTTTACTTATTTGCTTTGTGGTTGTACATTAGGATGTTTCCAGAATCTACATAACTACTGAAAGTCATTAATATTTCTTTAAGTTATGCTAGAATTTAACAGAGACTTTGAAAGGTTAAGAAAAAATAGCAATCAGTGGTTACAGGGATATTTTCTAGCTGTCTTCAATAAGTTAAAAGTCCAACCTGATGCTAGACTTTTAAATGTTTAATTATACAGGTTAAAAAAATAGGATGTGAATGCAGACTTCTGAAGAACCTGGATTAACTACTTTTGCTCTTGATCTTCCATTTTCCGTAATATGAAGAAAAAAGAAAAAACTCAACTGGGATGGTAATAGATTTTGTAGATAGATACACCTCAAATTGTAACCAAAATTTGTAACATGGCAAAAAAATAATAATATTTGTGGGGTTTTTTGCTTTACTACAAGCAAAACTGACAATGCAAGGCACTTTTGTCAAGGCTCAACTGCTGAGATTCTATGCTATGACTTCCTGTTTGAAGGAACTATTCCGAGGTTTCCATCTTCACAAGTTAACTGCTGTCACAGAAATGTGACACAGAACCATGCTAAGCGGGCTCTGGGTTGGCTGTAGAACATGCCAGTTCCAAGGCCATCCTCTCCCAGAAATATCTGAAATACATATGCATAGTCAGAAAAAATATTTGCAATTACAAATGCTTTCTTGCTTAGGTAGCTAACAAATTATGTCCCCCTTGTCCCTATATCAATTTAACTGTGCTTTAGTACACCTGTCCCCTTGATCTAAGCCACTTTTGAGGGGGCCAGATAAGATTTTTGGAGATCTGAGAATTTATATACACAATATGCTTTTGACATGTTAAGCCCCAAAACAAGATCACCAGTCTTTACCTCATCTTCTTTGCGGATATTGCACTGTACGGGAGTCACTTTGGCAGGACTCATGGAAGAAAATGTACTATTCAGTTCTTCTGCAGCAGCTTTTAATCGGTCAAATTTACGGGAGGCAATAACAACACTGCAACCTGTAAAGACAAAATGAAACATCCTTCAGCTAACATAGTTAAAATTACAGTTATGCTAGTTTTTTAATAACTTCATGGAGATATCTTGTAGGATATGTGTGTATTAGTCACTGACTAGAAGACAGTGAGAGAGAAATGACTGATGTCAGGTGCTTCTTAGCAACAAGATCCCACTGTGCCAGAAAAAGAGCAATCAAAAAAATGTGCACAACGTTCCCTCTCCTTCCTGCAGAAGGGAAGATAGCCTGTGAGTTGCAGAGTCAGCAAAGTACCTTTCAGACATCACTTTTGCTGCCTCTGCTCACAGCTCCCTCATTTATCTATTATGCGATTTAAAGATATTTCAGCAGGTCTTGATTACAAAAAAATGCTTGCTCCTAAAACCACAAAAATAATCTTACTGTATGTCTGGCTGTAATTTTTGACTACCAGTGAGCAAATGTAATGCTCTGCTTTTTAACCCTACAAAGTCTGAAGGAAAGGATGATAGCCTCATGAGATTAATTCCTATCTGCAGACTACAGACAGCAGGAACAGAGGCTTCCCCGTGGCACTGCCACAAGCTGTAGAATCCTAGCTCAGGAAAGAGACAAAAAAACTAGGCAGGAGTTCAAGCCTTCTGTTTTTTTCAGCATTTGGAGGCAGAACGGTTCATTCTACAGAGAAAAACAATGCAGATGCCAAATTAATGGCAAGCACTCCCACAACAACCAGTCTAGTTTCTTCTGTCACACCAGCAGATTCAGGACAGCTTTAAGGCTTCAGCAATTGCTACTACATGAACTAGAACAGACCACCCCAACTTAATCCCTAGTGCAAATCCCATAGGCATGCAATTTTATATTATGGATAAGCAAATTACTAGCTTCCACTGCCAAGCAAGCAAGGAGGTCTTGCTCCCAGTTTCTTCCTTCCATAATCTCAACATCTCAGCAGAAGCCATCCCTTCCTCATACCAGCTCTGAAGCTCATCTGCTTTAACATAAACCAATTCAACACTCTCAACCAGAAAAAAAAAAAAAGTTAACAACTTGCTAGGTGTTTTTTTTTTTTCTTTGTTGCTATTTTACTGAGTAGAATTTGGCCTCTCATGATCAAACAAACACCAGAATCAACTCAAAATAACTAGTGGGAGTAAAGAGGAGCAAGCTGTTAATTTGTGAGTGGAATTTGGCCTCTCATGATCAAACAAACACCAGAATCAACTCAAAATAACTAGTGGGAGTAAAGAGGAGCAAGCTGTTCATTTGGCTCAGGCTGTCTTGTGAAACTATACATAAAACTAAAAAAAAACCAACAAAAAACAAACCGTTAAAAAATAGAGGAGTTGAATTCTTCCAGAAGGAAGTGCTGCAACTACATATCCCTAGGAATGGGAACTTCACCTTCAATCAGTGGCCATTTTAAAACAACACATGTAAATATATTAGTCTCTGAGGTCTCCTGATTTTTTAAATTAAGAACTCTAGTCACTTGGGCAACCACTTGACTAATGCAGAGTTCATAAAATCGCACACACAATTACCGATTAACACAAAATATTAAATTACAGCAGCACATTTAACTTTATCAACTTAAGTGCTTATTAATACACACACAGATATAAAATAAAGTCCAGTAAAAGACAGTGTTCTTACTAAACACACTAATTGGTGGAGGGGGAGATTCTAACTCACTGAGGAACACATGGTACCTACTCTACAAGCTGAAACTGTTTCACTTATTTTTCTTCACAAAGAACAACCAGACCATCTCCTGATATGGTCAGAAGGAAAAGGGGACAAATTTCCAGATAAAATGTTTACATTCGTCCAGAAGGCTTCAAAGGAGACTGGTTATAAAACCAAAGTACCTCATGACTGGCATTATCTGTCACTGCTCCTACAGGCATTCTCTGTCCAGCCAGCCCCCCTTACAGCCTAAAGCACAAGGTATACATGGAAATAGTTCCCAGTCGTGTTCTTGTCAGGAGTAGCCAGCAAGTCTGCAGGTAAGGAAGATTACTCAGACAGACTTAAGCCATATCTCTTTCTCTATTTTCTCACATGTGCTTTGCAGAGATTTGCAGTCTTATTTTGTATTTAGGATGTTACGGACACATGCTTTTGTTATTTGTATTTTGCTTGAGAAAAACAATGCAGATCAAATTAAGTACAGTTTTAAAGTAACTGGGTAACATCACCAACCAACAGTGTGACGATGTTTAAAAAGCACCTGTTTAAGGCAGCATGTCAGGACATCTTAAAAAAAAACCAAAGCGCTTAGTCCCCCAGTAACACAAAGGTAGCAGTACTAGATCCTACTTCAGCTCCAACAGAGCAAGTAGAAAGCTGGGGTGACAAAGGCCAGGAGAGGCAGAGGTGTCTCCCAGCACACAGTCTTAACAAAGAAAAGCTCTTCACTGTGCAGTGCAATGGCGCGGTGCACATTTCGACAGCGCAAACCACGGGGAGTGCGGCGCCGTGAGGCGTAACGCTAGTGCTGGTATTCTGAAGACAGCAAATCTCATAACGACAATAAACATTATCCGAAGGCAGCCCGATGCCGATGATCCCTAGCACCTCTATTGAAACCTGCAGAAAAGGTGTTGCAAGGTGGATGACTCAGAAGTCTGCCTTTCCCTCCAGATTTCACCACTTCTCTGTAATCAGCAGGGAAAGCAAACCCACACAGCGCACGCTGAAGGGGTACTTTAACCTCAGGAGATCCCTGTCACGCGCACCGCGAGAGAAGCACCCTTTCTCCAAACTTACTGTGCCGACAACCGTTCAAAACTATACTATTCCGTAGTAGATAAATCCTCCCGTTAAGCAAGACGAAAACTCAACTTAAGAGGGAGTATGAGAGAAAGGGTCCGGGTTTAATACAACCTCACTTCGACCACTGTATTTAAAACAGCGCATCTGTTAAGCGCCAGTGGGTCAAAGGACACATCCACCTCACCTCGCTCTCCCCGCCACTCCTGTCACAACGTCCCACCTATAAACTCCTCACAGACCCGCTCCCCGGGCGCTGCCTACCCCCAAAACGCACCACGACACCCCCTCCACCCCCCCAACACTCCCTGACCCGGCCCCTCAAGCGCCATTCCCCG